TAAACACATTAAACACATCCCTTTGATTTTTCTTGATTTGATCACCATTCTGAAAGGAATAGTGTCCTTCGAACAAGTGTATTATTATGATAGTGGGTTCAGAATTATTATAAAGCTAATATATTCAGTAAGGTCAAGTGATCCGAATGCCTGGGTGGAGGCCGCTTTCGATCAGTAATATTAATGCATAATTAATATTAAAGCTTAATCTTGACTGAACCCTTCGGGTCACACCCAAGCAATAAACGAGCCGAAGCGACGAACTAATTCGGAAGGAATTAATGAGTCGACCGAGTAATATTTATTTAGATGTCGGAAATTCGAGCTTAGAGCGTCGAAACCGAGCGTCGGAAGTCGAGTCAAAAATAATAAAAGACGAGACGTGCAAATAGTAATAAATCAACATATTTCACAAAATACCCCTAGCATCGGAGTGCCCCGAGCAATCCGAGTGTTAGGGGCATAATGCGTAACATGGTGTCTAGCATGCACACCAAGCCAAACCTTGGCTGGCTGGTGCGTGCTAGCGCACCATTGCTAGCAGCCAAGGCAAGCCTCGACATGCTGGCCTCAAGCAGCAGCAGCCCGCACTTGGAGTGCGAGGCTTGCTGGTCGCAAGCAGCAACAGCCCGCAACTCCATTGTGCGGGTGGCTGGGCCGAGTCCAAAGGGAGGAATAAATGGGAAAGCCTTGATACCCAAATGGGAGGACATGTGGCGCATGGAGAGGGAGAGAGTGGGGAGCAAGTTTGGTCCCCTTTCCTCTCCAAGTGGTCTATACTTGCTCTCTCATGTATAGTTGACACTTGTTGATTTATTACTAGCTTGCTTAAATAATTTTATTTTACCTTTAAAATAAAATGTGAAAATCTCACTATCCCACATGGGAGAAACAATCATACTCTCATCATTTCCTATAAATACCCAATTAAGGGCATTAGAAATGATGCTTGTGTAAGAGTTGGAAAGGGGATCACAAGTAAGTGAAAACCCTTTAACTCAATAGTTGGAAAATGTATCACATTTAATGAAAGTCTTTGAACTCAATTACTCGGGTTTATCAGTCGGGTCTTGCTAACCCCAAGACATTGGACCTTGTCGGTGATCATTGTTGCGGGTGGATCATCGTCGGAGGCTTCGTAATTTCGAAGCTAGCTTTCAAGTAAGAGCCCAAGCGGTCGGGCGAAGCACGCTCCAAAGGTAATTGTTTTATCTTAATCTTGTGATTAATTTAATTATGTTTATGGTTTTATTTATTGCGAGTGCGGTCTTGTTTTGGGTTTGTTTTCACGGTGAGTCGGACTCACCAAACCCCAACACATTCCTCATTCACAAGATTTGAATACACCTAGCTAAGCTCGAAGTTTCCTTAGACCTCGACGTGAAAGGTTGATAATTTCTGAGGGTTTGATCCCAAATCCTTATTTCATTTATTTAAATTAATTGTTTGATTTAATATTTTCCTTGAAGTTACTAACATGTGTATTGTTTTGATAGAAAGAGATACAAGGCAACAAAGTGAGTAATTCAATTGCTCTATTTCTATAGAAGGCATGCTTAGATTATTTTAATTCATATTATCATGTTAGGATGTTATTTATTGCAATCTAGTATCATGATTAGGTTGCTTCTTATTTATTGTATCATGATAGTATCATGTTTGGGCTAAAGCTTTGATCTTTATTGTTTAGTGACATGTTATGATTTGTTATTAATTTTGTTAGTATTATGTCTGAGATCTTGCTAATATTATTATGCTTTGATGAGATTATCGTTATGATGATGATTGTCGTATCAATATTATTATGTTGTTTAATATTATTGTTGTTGCTTGATCACATGATGATGATTGTTGTATCAATATTATTATGTTGCTTGATATTATTATTGTTGCTTGATCACGCCCTCTTTTGCAGAATTAAAGGAAAGTTTGAAATTATGCTTAATAAGATAATTAATAATTTTATTTAGGCTAATATGATTTTAATTCAAGTGATCGCCAATAATAGATTTGTTTGTGCATTAATATTCAACCAACATAGATTAAACATATTTAGGGTTAATATATTAATTGTATGTTAATTGGAAAGCGCACATGAATATTAGAAGAACAAAGTAGAGGCCTATTTAGGGCAGGTTCAATCTCTTTTAGGTTGAATTTGTACCTTCATCCCCGAATATCCAGTCATGGTTCAGGATCACTATGGAGTTAGAGATCTCTGTGATTGTGAATGGTTTACAAGTTCCTAAAACTTGTTGGTGACTCTTTTACTCTAGCTTCCTTCCCTTTGGACGCCACCATGCTTAAATGCATGAACTGAAAGGAATGTTGTCCTTTGAACAAGTGTATTATTCTGATAGCGGGTTCAGAATTATTAGAAAGCTAATATATTCAGTAAGGCCAAGTGATCGAAATGCCTGGGTGGAGGCCGCTTCCGATCAGTAATAATAATATAATTAATATTACAGCTTAATCTTGACTGGACCCTTTAGGTTACACCCAAGCAAAATATACGAACCGACTTGACGAATTAATTCGGAAGAAATTAATTCGTCGCCCGAGTATTAAATATTTAGACGTCGGTAATTCGAGCTTGGAGCGTTGAAACCGATCGTCGGAAGTCGAGTCAAAAATAATAAAAAGACGAGACGCGCAAAATAATAATAAATCGACCATATTCCCAAAATACCCCTAGCATCGGAATTCGCCGAACATCCGAATGTTAGGGGCAAAAATGTCCAAGCATAGGTGGCTAGCAAGCGCACCAAGCTGAGCCTAGCATGGATGGCTAGGTGCGTGCTAGCAGCCACGCACAGCAGCAGCTAGCAGCCGCGTGCACGTGGTGCGTGCAGCAGCTAGCTGCCGCAAGCTAGGCGTGCTAGCAGCGCACGCACTAGCAGCCACGCTCAGCAGCAAGCCCACACCAAGTGCGTGGCTTGCGCGCACAGCAGCAACCCGCATCTTGGTGCGGGGCTGGGCTCGGGCTGGGCTTGTGGCTGGGCTCGTGGCTGGGCCATAGGGCCGGTCACTATGGGGAAGCTTGAGGAATATGGGAGCAAGTGGGTAAGGACATGTGGCACAAGGAGAGTATTGAGTGGGGAGCAAGTATGGTCCCCTACTCTCCATGTGGTCCTCACCAACCCATTTCACATGGTAATGCCACTTGTAGATTTATTATTAGTTTGCAATTTTAATTTAATTTAGCTTTAAATTAATTTGTGGAATTTCATGATCCCACATTGATGGGATAGAAATTCCCACTCATACTTTCCTCTATAAATACCAACATTGGGATTTGGAGTAAAGTGCTTGAGTGGGAGTTAGAAAGAGAATTCCATATTTTGGGAAAAACTCTTAAACTCCATTAACGCTTGGGTTTTGGTCGGACCTTGCTAACTCCAAGGTAGCGGACCTAAAAAGTCGTGTTCGTCCTTTGTGGGTGGATACCGTTGGAGGCACGGCATTTGCGGTGCTCAAGGCTTTCAAGTAAGAGCTCGTTTTGAGAGGGCGAAGCTCGCTTCAAGGGTATGATTTGTTTTTCCTTTTTCTTGTGTTTATTTATTTATGCTTTATGGTTTTATTAATTACGAGTGGTTCCTTGGATCGGGTTTGTTTCCGCGGTGAGTCGGACTCACCAAACCCCAACATGAACACAGTGGGGCTCAAGTATAGGGTGCTTGAAATATTCCCTGCAATTACTGGGTGTTACTTGGTTTCTATTGGGGTTACTTGCATAGTATAGTAGGTGTTACCTGTATAACTAGAGTTACTAGCATAGTATAGTATGTGTTACCTGTATTACTTGTTTTCACTATAGGGGTTACTTGGATACTACAATAGTGGGGTACTTTTTATAGGGGTTACTTTTATATGTAAGAGGATTACCTTATTGTGTAATAGAGGTTACTTGAATAGTATACTAGGTGTTACTTGTTTCAATTGGGGTTACTTGCATAGTATAGTAGGTGTTACCTGTATTACTTGGTTTCTATTGGGGTTAGTTGCATAGTATAGTAAGTGTTACCGGTAGTTAATTTTAAGGAAAAAAGGGGTTACTTTTATATATAACAATGGTTACTTAATGGGGGCTATTTTATTTACAAAGTAGCGATTACTTGTATGGGTATCACTTGTATTCAATAGATGATTACTTATAAAAACAGATGATTGTTACCTGGTAATTCATTGTTGTTTTTGTTATCTATGTCCAGATTCATTAATGAATCACTTATTTCTTTGATCTCTATAGAATCTGGAAAAATTTCTAATATAGGTTGAAAATTTTCAGATTTTTCAGGTGGAAAAATTTCTGATCCTTCAGCCATTGAAGCTTCGAGTTTAAAGATCTGGAAGAAAAAATTATTTTTTGATCTGGAAGAAAGTATTAGAATTTGTGTAAATTTGATCTGTAAATTTTTAGATGTTAATGGCGGCTTTTGTTTAGGGATTTGTGTGATTGTAGGCTTTTTGTTTAGTCAACACTAGGTTAGAACCTGTGCGATACACGATTTATATAAAACCTATTTTAAATTTGTACATTTTAAAAATAAATCGCTATACATGAATATAAATAAGAATTATGTATATTTTTTAATTTTTTTTTATTTTCATCAAAATTATGATGTATTATTTGTTCAACATTGTCTAATTCATAATTCAATGTAGAAGGTCATTTAGTAACTATTTAAAATTATTTCAATTTCCTACGATAAATTGATATGTTTTAGTTGTAATATAGAAGGTTCAAATATTTAAATTTAAAAAATGTTAAATATAATAGCTCTATAATAAATAAATAAATAAAAGATGACATCATCATTGCATATAAACGGAAAAAAGTTTTTTAAAGAAAGTGACACGTGGACAATGATAATGTCAACAACTTCTGTTTTACTAATAGTTAATAGATTAGTTTTACTTTTGGCAACTGAATTCCGTTATTTTTGAGAAGTGAATCCCAACCGATACATCAAACTTCCTAACTTGAATTTTTGGTTAGCCAAGGCACACGATATCGTATTAGCGTTTCCATCTCTTCGACTCTTCCGTGTTCACTCACTCTTGGTTGTTTATCTGGTGTCTTAAAACCAACAATAGCGCCAATTACCTCACCATTTTCAAAATTGAAACCATTTCACTCCTAAAATACTCAAACCCTCACATTTGAAACTTTGAGTTTGATGGCCTCACTTCCAGTGGACGACAGAGACCTCGACGACGCCGCATTGTGGGCAGTCATCGACTCCGCTGCCGCAGCTTCTTACTCTTCCTCCTCTCCCACCACCACCGCCCCAACCGTTTTCCGTAAACCATCATTAACCCTAAATCACATTCCCAATTTCAAATCTCCACCTAAACCTCGATTCATCAATAACCCTAATTCTCCTCCATCTATCGCCAAATCTCCCCCAAATTACGCCATTAATGGCTCAATTAGGGTTCCTTCCGATGATGATCATTGCCATTTTCGTCGCCCGCAAAAGATGTCGAGGATTTCCTCCCCTTGTGTTTCTGAGATTACTGAGAGTAGCCCTGATTTGATGCTTGTTAAGCATTTTCCGGTTAATCATCAGCTTTTTACTTCGCCAAAGCAGCAGATTTCTCCGCAAGTTGAGTATAGAGTTTGCGAAGATAAGGAGAATTTTTCGCATTGTTTGAGTGGTCGTTTTCCTACTGTTTCTCTCTTTAAGGATTATCAAGATGCTGCTATGTCGGTTAGTCTATTTCAAACTTTTTTTTGCTGCCATTGTTGTGGCTTTTTACTAATGATTTGATCAAGTTATTGGATTTCTTCAGCATAGTTGGAATTTGTATGAAATTAGGTGATTGAGCATTTTCCATTTTATGTGTTCTATGTTTAATTATAATTTCTGGAATTAATGAGCTAGTATTTGTTCAGTCATATTAAGGTTCTAGCGCGTTTTTGATGCATTATAATTAATGGTTTATGTGAAAATAAGATGATTATTTATTCACTTGAAAGTATGAACATATTGTCCGAGTGTAGTTATTTTAATGTAAGCTTACAGACAATGTTTCTTAGAACTGGTTGTGTGTATCAACACTTCAACAGATTACAAAGTACTCCGGGTTTTTCTCGAGCTAATTTGGTGTATTCAATATATTTGCAGACGGACTTTATTTTTGTGTATCATTTATACTGTTAGAAAATCGTGGTTTGATCCAGCTAATATAAGATACCAGTATAAACACAACTGAGGCGAGCAAGTATGCTGTCAGAGTAGTGGTTTAATCCAGCTAATATATGATATAAACACAACTGAGGCGAGAAAGTATGCTGTTAGAGAATAGTGTTTGATCCAGCTAATATAAGATATAAACACAACTGGGCGAGCAAGTAGAGTTTTAGGCTGTATGAAAAATTGTTTGGAAGCGGAAAGCATACTTTGAAATAGAGTTAAGTTGTGTGAATCCTTGCAATTTCCTCTCCATGTGGTTTTCCTATTTCAAATTTACTTGAAAGTCAGGATGTCACCTAAAGTTATAGGTTTTGTTTGGTTGACGTTTCACTACAATTTAAGTGAATCTATTAAGTTAAGGGCTGCAAAGTCTCTTTATAAGTACAAGGAAAATTATGTTGAGGCAATGAAACGATTCTGAAGGATTATAGATGCAGTAATTGGTTATATTAGTAGCTTTGTTACTGTTGTTACTAACCTATGGCAAAAAAAGGATGATTTTTGGGTGGTGGCACTATTTCGGGTAGAGTGGAGTGAGAAATGTGGATACAAGTAGTTGCTAAATTCTTGTTTGCTGTCTTTGTATGGATATGTGACCAGACAACTACTATTGTCTTTCAAATTTTTCGTTTTAGTTGGGACATTTTGTTCTTTTTTGAATTCCACTATCTTGGTCACTCAGTAATTTTTTTAAATGGGCCAGACTTGTAATTTCAGAAGTCTATAATGGGATAGCATATATTTCTGATGGCCAAGGCATCCATCTTGTTGGGCCGCTCACACACTCCATTTCACATTAGTATGACATTATCTCACACGAATTTGTTTTTGGGACCTTTCCAAAAGGATTCATACTAATTAGAATGTGCACTCACTTATAAGGAAGGAAAATTGAACAAGAATAATCCAACCTTTGTCTCATTTTCCCAAAATAATCTAACCTTTTGATTAATCATGAATAATCCTAAGTTTACTTCTTATTTTCTTATACCAAACCTATTTGATCGGGAACTTAACTTCAGGTAAATTATTATTTTTCCCCCTCCTTCAACTCCGTTACAGTTAGTGAGCACGACATCTGCCACCACTTACCCCACCCAAACCCAGATGCGAAACCTTTTTCCCACTCCTACCAGACTCAAAACCACCAAGCTGAAACGACCAGCCCTACCCATACCACCCATACGCTAAAACCCCAACCCCATAAATCCCAACGTCACCTCCCTAAACCTTCCCGCCACCCCTCCCTTATCAAACTCCACTTACTACATACACTTCCCTTTCAAACCTTATTATTTCTTCTATTCTCTCTCTTTCAATTGAATTTGGGCTAAATTGGGGCATGCGTCTTCAAATATGGGTTGGAATGGGCCGGGGGGTTATTTTTTGGTTGGTTTTGCTTGCGGCGCGTGCTGTCGTGGGTTGTCGGTGGTTGTAAGTCATTGATGTTGTGGGTTGGTCGTGGTTGTTGCATTGAGTGGTTATGTTTACGTGTTGAGGTGGTTGTAGGTGGTAGTGTTGGTGGTGGTCATGGATGGTGTGTTGAGTGGTGTGGTTGGGAGAGGAGAGAGAAACAAGCAGGCTGGGAGGGAGAGAAAAAGTTTTTTTTCCTTCCAATTTTAAGAATTAAAAATGCTTTTTTTAAAAATTAAAAATAAAAATTGCCAATAAGGAAGTACTACGTGGATAGGAACTGATAGTGAAGGGCTGGGTAGCCTGTTAGGATTGTTGGGAGAAAATAAGTAGTAAACTTAGGATTATTCAGAGTTAAACGAAATGTTGGATTATTTTGGGGGAGCGAGGCAAAGGTTGGATTATTTTTACTAAATTTTCCTATAAGAAAGTCCTTTTTTCCTTATTTCATTAATGTGGGACTTGGGATGAACAACCCTAACAAACCTCCCCTTACACCAAGGACGACATAACTTACGGCCTCCCCTCCACCTAAACCATCTTGCCTTGCATCGCCTGTATCACCACGGGAGGACTTTCGCTACATGGCTAGCACAAAACTCCCATCATGTATTGCCGTTACCACCATGGAACGTGCCATTTGACCTCAATATCAAGTGGACTTTTGATACAAGGCACCACAAATTTTCAATCGCGAGTTCAAACATTTGAGGGAGCGTCCCACACAAATCTGATACCAGTTGTTTGGGACGGAACAATTAATAAACACAATATCAGGAAGAATAATAAAATACGGAACAACAAAAACAATAGACAAGATTTTTACGTGGACTACAATAAAGGGAAAAACCACGGTCCCAATTTCTAAGGACAAAAACAACTTTACTAACAATAATTTCGGGAGTACAATAACCGCCATTGTAATTAAATATTAGATACAATCATATAATGTATATTTAGGAGGAGTCTAAACTAGTACCCTCAACATGGTACTTATACTAATCCTAAAGATACCCCTCACACTAATGTTGTGTTTGCCTCTGACTTTAGCTCTCCTTGTCTTTGAGGTGTTTTCTTGCTAACTTCTTGCTAGTAAATTTCCTCTTTTTCTTACCCTTGCATAAACTCATGTTACATATATATATGCAAACAATGTAAAGTTTTGTCAGCAAGCTTTAACACTTATATGGATAATGAGAGCAACTCGAATGGTTGCTTTCAAGGACTAGCTTGCAATTTTAATAATTTTCAAGCTAATAGCCCAACCATTGGAGTATATTTAATAATTAGCTTGGTCAAGCTAATGCCAAGCAAATTAGCTTAGCTAAGCTAATTAGCTTAGAAATTAATTGTCTCTAATAAAATACTAATTATTTAAAAAATAAAGCTGAAAAATATAAATATTAATTAGCCTAACCATTGTGGTATGAATTAGCTAGCAGGAATAACAACTTTGCAATCTTAGGTGGCATGGCAAGCTAAATTGACAATTAGCTTGCCATTGAAGTTGCTCTTATATGTACCACAAAGTCAATGCCTATTGTCTATTGCAACATATTTAGTATTAATAATAAATAATAAAACAACATAATTAATTGGGGTTTGGGGAGATTAACCCGACTAATAATAACACCTTATTTATCCTTAGTCCCACATGGAAGAAATAAGGAAGAAAATAATTCCTTATAAGTGAGTGCACACTTTAATTAATATAAGGCTTTTTGGGAAAGTGCTCAAAAATAAATCTTTGCGGGCTAGGCCTAAAGAAGACAATAACATACTAATGCAAAGTGAAATGTGCGTGCGACCCGATAAGGTGGGCCTAGGGTAGAGGATTAATCGTAGGGGGAAGTACGACACTTAGAGGAAGAATCTGATAAGTTACGATGGCGGCAAGTACACCAAAAATATGAAATTCCAATGTTTGATGGGAAAATCAATTTTGTGGTGTAAAAGAACACCTTTGAAAATATATTGATGCAGATTTAGCTTTGGAGACTAAAAAACCCGCAAATTTGGATGATGTCTAGTGGGCATCTAAGAAAAAGAAGGCGGTCAGTACGATTTTGTTGGCGATTGTTTTGGAGATTAAGTATAATTTTCTAACTGAGACGTGTGAAGGTCTTGTTAGAAAAGTTGTTGAGCATTTACGCTAGAATGGTACAAATTTGCAAAACTACATTGATAATTATAGAAAATTCCTCGTCAGGAGCAAGCCCTCTTATTATTGACTTTACTATCGAAGTTCTATAAGCTGATTGTGCATACATTACTTGTGGGAAGGGAGAAGATTACTGTAAATGAAGAAATAACTATTGTGAGGGAGAATGAGCGTATGATGACACAAATTGATGGAGGTGTCTTATACAATCATGACGATTGTGGAGGGTTCCGAGAGAGGGAGGAACAAGTCAAGGAGAGATGACCAACGGAGTGGATCGAAATGTCGGCCGAGAGATTATAGTAATGTTAAGTGCTATTATTTTCATGGGAAGGGTTATCTACAATTTAATTGTCAAAAGGTGAAAGAAGATTTGAAGATCTTGAGGTAGTCGCTTGGAAAGATGGGCAAAATGAAAGTGGATAATGAAGGTGGTTCCTCTAATGTTTTATGCGGAGATTATGAGGAGTTGTTGTTCACTCACAATGATAAGGAGAATGTGAGTCAATACAAATGGGCGCTTGATTCATCCGCTTCGATATCGAGACAACGCAATAAGGTGAGTTTGGGAACATCAACATGGGACATAACCTTAATTTTGAAGGCATAGGTAATTAGGTAGTGTGTGTTTAAGGATCCATGATGGTTAGGTCGTACCATTCAGGCATTCCAAATGTGAGGTTTGTATCTAGTGCACGTGCTAACGTGATATCGTTGGAAGAGTTGACAAAGCACGGACATAGGTATGTTGGTAGTGGACGGTGGTGTAAGGTGTACGGAGGCGACGAGACAACTGCTTGGTGTTGCAAGGCAAGAAGGCCAATAACAATATTTGTTATTTGGAGGGTCGAGTAATTTAAGACCACAAAATCATGGTCGTGAAATATTTCGAGAAGAGGGTTCGACTTTGTGATGTAGTAGAAGTGTTTGGTAATTTGGTTCGAGGGATGAATTTGTAGGGTTAATCTCAGTGTTTCCCGGAACACGAGACGGTATAGCGTTCCCCATACTGCAACGTCCGTACCGAAACGCGGATCTGACGCGTTCTGGTTCGCGTTCTGGTTCGTCGATGACGGAGAACCCGATTGTAGTAAGATTCTAAGTAGCATGAGTGACAATTTGGTTATTATTTGTTTATATATTCAGGTATAATTGAAAGCTTAAAAAACTTTAAAGGTTTCGCCAATGGTGTTTTAAAAAAATGGTTATCTATGGAGGAGGGAGATGAAGAAACGTGTAAATAAATGAGTTTAGATTGTGGACCCCATGTCCCCATGTCCCCTTTTCTTTCTTTTTTTTTTTAAAAAAATTGCCTACTCACTACACAGTACTATTGTGGACCCCTATGTCCCCTTTTCTTTCTATTTACGTGGTATTAAATTGCCTAGAATGCCTACACAATCAGTATTGTACTAATGTTAAATTGCCTACATGGGAATCAATGCTACTACTTATTAATTACAATTTCCACCTTTAAATTTTTGTTGTTTTTTTGTTTGTGTATTTATTTACGGTAAATATCAATAATAAAATACAAAAACACTATTAAAATAAATGACCATACGTTCTGGGAACTTTAAAGGCTACGTTCCACGTTCCCGTTCCCGTACCAAGTTCTGAAATGTCCCGCGTTCCATGTAACGTTGGTTAATCTCCCTATATTTCAATTAATTAAGTAGTTGTATGATAAACATTAACAATAATTTTGTAATTAAAAATATAAAGAAAAAAAATGAAAGAAAAATTCGTTTGGACTTGAAAGTCTAAGTTAGTGAAGCTATGATGTTAGTGTCATATGCCTAGTCTACTTGTGTTAGACATTAGGTGTTGACTTTGGGGTACATGTAGATGTTAAAGCTTGTTGGAGAAGCTTTACATTGAATTTATATATATATATATATATATATATATATATATATATATATATATATTCCTTTATGTGAGAATAATTTCTTATGTGAGAACACTTTGTATATTCTAAATTTTTGCTCGTATATTCTAATTTTAAATCTAATGTTTTAAATATTTACTCAGGTGTTCTAAATTAAGTAAGATGCTCTAAATTAGTACTCACATGTTCTAAACAATAAATTAGTAGATGTTATAAAATTTAAATAACCTGTTCCAAAATTTTAACTTATATGTCCTAAATTTTAAGACGTGTATTATAAGATTAATGATCATATGTTTTAGAATTTAAAGCAAATTTACTTCTATGTTCTACATTTTTACTCACATTTTCTATATTTTATACCCGGTGTTCTAAATTTTTATTCACATGTTCTAAATCTTAAATCAAATGCTTTAAATTTTACTCATACATAAAGTATATTTTTTTATGTTTTTACTCATATGTTCTAATTCTTAAATCAGATGTTTAGAATTATTACTCACACAGATGTTCTAAATTTTTACTTGTATGTTCTAAATTTTTACTCACATGTTCTAATTTTAGTTCATTTCTCTAATTCTTAAATCAGATGTTCTAAATTATTACTTACACAGATGTTTTAAGTTTTTACTCGTATGTTCTAAATTTTAATTTGAGTTACATGTTATAAATTTTTACTCGCATGTTCTAAATTTTTACTCACATGTTTTAAATTATAGTTCATTTCTCATATAAGTTTGGGTTCTCACATATAAAGCCAAGTTATAATGAGAACCAAAGCTAAAATAAGAACTAGAAACTAATCTAGGCCTTAGATAATGTTAGTCGGATGGTCCACATGTTTCCTGTGTCATTAATGACATTTTCGTAATATTACATAAATACAAAGTGATTTTCAGTTTCATTTCTAAAAAGTAGATTGAAAGTTGGTAAAAGTAAATGAAATCAATCATGAAATAAATGAAATTGACTTAAGAGTTAAAAAACCGAAAAAAGTTTGAAAAGCCGTGAAATTGCAAAAATGCTATTAATGAATGCGGGTGAAACATGAGCTGTTAGATAGAGCGCGATTACAGGCTAAGATTGGTTCCTAGTTTCTATTATAGACCTTGATTTTCACATAATCTCTATTTTATATATATATATATATATAATATATAATAATAAAAAAAAAAAAAAAAAAAAATATATATATATATATATATATATATATATATATATATATATAGAGTTTATGCAAGGGTAAAAAGTACAGGAAATCTACTAGCAAGAAGTTAGTAGCAAAACTCCTCAAAGAGGAGTGAGGGAGGAAGTGACCAAGAGCAATGTATAAAAAAGCTTACAGGAAGCGTGAGGGGTTCTGCTGTGCCTAGGTACGCCTCTTTGAAGTGAGGCGCACTATATGGACAGTTAAAAAAATTTGGGTGAAGTGTGCTTGGGGTGCGTCTCAGGTGCGCCTTGTGCGCTTTTTGTGCGCCTAACCCAAAACGCCCCGCCTAGACAAAAATAAGCGCACACCCCCGATCGACGCTTTTTCAAATATTGATCAAGAGGCAAACACAATATTTGTGTGAGGGGTTTTTTTAGGACTAGTACAAGTACCAAGTTGAGGGTACTAGTGTAAACTCCTAAAAATACATTGAATATAATATTGTAATTGTGGTGGTGGTCACTGTACTCCCGAAATTATTGATGCTCCCCCGTTTTCTAGTAATCGCAACTCCAGGGTTTGCACAAAGTCTTAGGGAAGTTATAGGGTGAGGGCCAAAAATGGATTATTTATTTATTTATTTATTTTTTTTATAATATAAAGTGTAATTAGTAGGAAAGATAAATAATAAAAAAATAGTGTAAGTGGGGTTGGTAGGAGAGAGACTTAATAAAATATTTGTTAAAGTGGATTTAGTGGGAGAGAGAAATTATAAAATAATAGTGAGTCCTTTTCAAATATGGAGGTGTTGCAATAATTATGAAACATAATTAATAGGAAAGTGTTGCAATTATTACGAAATGGAGGAAATAACAAATTTTGTTTTGGTCCCTGGAGATCAGGATTGTGGGTTTTCCCTATATTGTTGAGGAGGGGTTTTCCACATAAAAATCTTGTGTGTTGCTTTTGTTGTCCTATATTTTATTATTCTTCCCTTCCCCATATTGTGTTTATCTGTTGCTCAATCCCCAACAACTTCCTTTTTTTTTTTTTTTACTTGCTACACACATCTTAGGCATGTAGTTTTAGGAAGAGATAATTGATGGTAAATGAGCGATTTTATCAAAATAATTTTTACACAAAAATTAGAGAAAAGTTAGGTATCATGTCTAACATGTTTTTGAATAATTTATCCGTTTAAATTATACCATCTTGATTCCGAAGTGCATGCCACAAGACTGTGTTGCAAGTAAATATAATTGGAGGAAGTAATACTTTTGTGATCTAATCGGCCACCTTGAGCAATCTTAGAGAAATATTTGGCTCTTGAGAATCATCATTTTGAATAGATTTTGTATACCTGATTTGATTGAGTGACGGACATCTTTGTTTTGTTTTATTAATAAATTCAGCATGATTATCATAGTGACAAGGGCATGTTATGGAGTTGTAACTTATTTTAGACATGGGAAAAGTTTAGACCAGAGAACTTTTGTGTATCTTCTTATATCACCAAACCGGGGTGTATTGGTGAATGTTGCATTAAATCATTTCTATTGATGTGTGCGTTATGGTCTGTCTGTATCCCCCTATCAGAATCTAATTGCAGCTCCTGACTATCCTATTACTCTTATTTTTCTTAGAGAAATCAAGTTCATACGAACCTCAATTCTACAAAAGCCAACTAAATATTGCATACACAAAAGAGCATCAGGGAGTTGAGCATGTCATACTTTTCAACTTTTGATAATTGGTTTTGATTCATTTACGTCATGTAATATACGAAAATTTCCTTGAATAGCATGGAACATGTTACATGCTAATTTCTAACTGTTATCTCTCTTGCCCTTAAACCTTTGATTAAGGCAGTGCTCTTACAATGTAGATGGAAATATTTTTTCGGTCTTTATGCTTCTGATCTGTTTTTGGTAATGACCAGGTTCTTGAGAAGTCAGATTATACTATTATATCCGGAAGTCCTTTTATCAAAAAGTCAGGTATCGGATTAAAAAATAATTTTCTACAACCTTTTTATAATCCCATATGAGTAGTTTGTGAGAGTATGGACCTCTGTTGTGTGTAGGTTGGAGGAAGATAGCATTTTACTTTAATGTCTCATTCGAAATAAGAGATAAGAACATTGAATTTGATGAGAATCGTAATGTTCAGCGTGCTGAATTTGTAGTTCGTGCTTATATGCAGTAAGTATACTCAAATTTCATGTGTTTGAGGAGCTGCAGTGACTCTTTGACTTATATATTAATAGTCAATCTTACAACCAATTTTGATCTGTACAAGGGGAGGTAGGTTTTCTGATGGGTGGGGTTCTTGTGAATGGCGGGAGAAGAAGTTTATGAAACCCAATAATGACATACCTAGTACTGCAGAAACCAGAGCCAAAAATAAGGCTTGCCAGGTATGCCTTCAGCTCTCTTACTGTTTCTTTTCGTAATTCCAACAAATTATGACCTGTCTATAGTGTAGTCTTGTGTATAGAGATTGTCATTTGCCTTTCCTTTTCTCATTTCCCCCTCTTGTTCCTACTTTGGTGGTTGAATGGGGTGTAGATGATCTATTACATGGTTGCCTTTTTTTTTTTTTAACCATATTTCATGACTTTTAGACAGCCTCACTGGATGCATTGTGCTTACTGTATTCTCTTAGCGCTTTCATACCCTGTGATTTGTGTAGCAACATAGATTTACTTCTGTATGTCAACAGTGTCACTTCCACTTCCCTGGGTCATACACTCATACCCCTTGTGGCTGCTTATGCTTCACAGATAGATGGATACATCTATCTTAAGGTGGTTGAGCCCCCTATGGTTTATCCATCAAGTATGTGTGTGGCTGTTGAATTTTTATAAAAGGTGTTTTCCTCTTTTTAAGTAATGATGTTGTGTCGATCCTCGCATGATATGGACCTTTAGTGCTTTGAGTGTTAGGCTACAGGCAGTTAGGGACATCAACACTTCTAACATTGCGGCCCTGTTTGGTTTGATGTAAAAGGTTTTCATGGAAAATGAATTTTCCATTTTTTCCCATTCTCCTTTGTTTGGTTTGTTAAGGGTTAACTCTCATTCATTCTTACATTTCCACTCTTATTTTTTATTTTTCTTGGACTTTTCTTGTATGCAACCAAACAAAGAAAAACTAATTTGTAATTGTGTTTTTCCTTGAAAATATGTTTTCCATGAAAACTAATTTTCCATTGAAAATGTTTTACATTAAACCAAACGGGGCTTGAGTAGCGTACTTTTATGGATGTCCAGTCGTTGTAATAAAATGATCTATGAGGCAAACATTAAGGCCCGAAAGGATTACAAAACAGAACAAAGAAAAAGCTTCTCCTACATGCCAATAATACTACTTCTAAGATGGATTTTGCTCCACTTTGAAGCCTCTTTGGCTAAAGCCATGGAATAGGGATTTCAGTAATTCCAGTAATTCAATACTTACGATTTTTCTGTCGGTTCCATGTGTAGTACTTCCTCCATTACTTTATTTATTTTTTTATTTTTTATTTTTTTACGTTGAGACGTTTCTTATATCATGTTTGCTAACTCTAAACTTTAACGAATAATATCTCTAATTATCAATATGTTAAAATAATAAAAAGTTGATATTAACATTATATACATTAAGAAAATTCAAATAAGATCTCACATGATTATGTTTTATCATAGCTATAAATCACAAAAGGTAATTAAATTAAAGTTTGTGAACAGTATCAAAAGTCAAAATATATAAGTTTATAATCTTTTGCAACATAACGTCCACATGATTGTGATGTACAAGTGAGAGGCAATTAAGACAAAATTGGGATAGAAAAATGTTACTTTTACAGCCTAGCTTGCTAATGAACCCTATAACCTAAATATACTCAATGAAGATAATTTAAAGAAAGTGATATTTTGTCAAAAAGTTAATTCCAAGGGCTAGGGTAGGAGGCTTGACTTGCTGACTTATTCCATTGATTCTTTAAAAATGCATCCCTGCTTTAGACCTTTTTAAATTTCTTTGTGTTGGAGGAGCAGGAGTTAGGTTGACAATGCTTTTGAACTAGGGAAATGATTTAAATTTCTATTGTATATTGCTTTTAAAAACATCTTGCCTAAAGGTAAAGAAAAACGGTTTCTCATTTGTATTGCTCTATACAAGAGATTACTCTTACCTATTCAATATCAATAGGCCTTATCTGATTAACCATTAAGCTACCAGTCTACAAATCGATTTTCATCAATAATTCTCTTTTTTGAGGAGGGAAATTAACAAGTTCTTCTCCTTACCTTTTTCAAATATAGTTAAGCTACTAACGGCCTTTTATCTTGCTTCAAACTTTTTTGAAGACAACTGGGTAAGTGACATGATTCCATTCTGGATTTCGTATTCTCTACATTAAATGTTCCTTGGAAAGTTAGTAAATTAGAGACTTGATTCCAAGCATTCCATGGTACAAATATCATACTAGTATTTGGCTTTGAATACGTGCCTTAAAAGCACCTTGACCTATGTAACTTGTAAAAAGTATCCAAATATCCTATATAAACACAAGGTAACCATAGCATCTAAAGAATTGTTCATCAATTTTGTGAGTTCTTGAATTTATATTAACTTTTCTTTTGAAAATTTAAGTAAGTGTTTGAAAAATTACATGAAAATTTAGTTTTAAGATCTTATACCTACTCAAAATAAGCCTTCTAAGAGATTCTTCTAAATTATTCCCATGATATAAGGGAAAGAATAGTAATGCGGGGTCTTGTGCTTTAAGAATATTAGATTTTGAATTGTAGTTACTAAAATGTAATGAGAGATGTTATAGGTCAAATGGTAAACCCGCACAATCAATATAGTAACATAAAAATGAAACGAATGAAATATATAAGTAAACACTAATTTTATGTTTTTTTAAAAAAAAATAAATTATTTTCTATACTACCATTGGAATATTAAAAGTGTAATTTTTTCATTGCTAATGATAATTAATAGGGTCTAGGCCATAAGTGATGTTCATTTATCTAAGTCTCCATTCTAAATCAACTTCTTGCCTTTACTACTCTCAAATGGACTAAATTTGATATACTCGTAATATGATCCCTTTTAGCTGTTCTGATTAAAATTTTGGCTTTATTTACAAACTTAATCTAGTTGTTACATATTTTAATTAATACTACAACAACAACAACTAAGCCTTATTCCAGAAATGATTTTGGGTTGGCTAACATGAATCGTTATAAGGAACTGTAAGATGCCAAGAAAAGGACATAACAAGATAATCAGTTGAAAGAGTTTGAAAATCAATGAGTGAAGTGAGAAAAAGATTGAAGAAATAATTAGGGAGTTTTAAAGAGAACCTAGAATTAAATTCAAGAAAGTTTTAAAGGAATGGTTAAAGCGGTGGGATATAAAAAACATAAAGGTTTGAGAAAACTTAAAGGAATCAATACATTCCATAAAACACTAGTAGGATAAAATAATAAAAGCACTCGTGTCACTCAATCCCCAAAGCACTCGTGTCACTCAATCCCCAAAGCACTCATGTCACTCAATCCCTAAAGCGCTCATGTCACTCAATCCCTAAAGCGCTCATGTCACTCATCCAAGTTTTCTTAGGTCTTTTCCTACCTTTAGCGAAACTTTGCAATTCTAGCGAAACTTTGCGATTCTATAAGCCGCGTAAACGGAGTGTTGTTTGGTCTCTTTTTTACATTGCCAAACCATCTTAAGCAATTCTCCTTCATCTTGTAGTCAATCTATGAAACCCCTACTCTCTTCCTAATTATCTCATTCCTTAGCCGACCATTTCTTGTATGGCCACACTTCCATCGCAACATACGCATCTCCACTACATTTGACTTATGCACATGGTAATGCTTTACGACTTAACTTTCTGTACCATATAACAAAGCAAGCCTTATTGCCGTTCAGTAAAATTTCCTTTTTAATTTATGGGGCACGTCGGGATCATATTAAAACCTTGTCTCACTCTTCCCCTATAACCAACCTACTTTAATCCTATGAGCTACATCTCCATCCAATTCTCCATTCTTTTGAATAATAGGTACTAGATATTGAAAGACCTTAGAAACTTGGACAATCTTCCCATCCAAGGTGATCAGCCCCCTCTCACTGTTTCTCAAATCGCTTAACTTACATTCCAAATACTTTTTCTTACTTTCGCTCACCTGAGTCACAAGACCTCAAAGTCTGTCTCCACAATTCAACTTACTTTCCATGTTTTTTTATTTATTTATTTATTTTTCTTATTAATCAACACAATATCGCCTGGAAACATCATGCACCATGGGATATAATCTTGAATTGAACTCGTCAATTCGTCCATGACTATAGCAAAAGGAAAAGACTAAGGACCTGTTCCAATTTACTGAAAATACGTGAACTGAACTGATTGGAGTTGAATTGAACTTAACTGATTGGAGCTGAATTGAACTGAATAGAACTAAAATGAATTGTTTATGAGAGAAGAAAATTAGGAATTGAACAGAATTGAACTGATTGGAGCTAAACTGAGTTGACCTCAACTGAACTGTATTGAAATTAAGCTGAATAGAACAGGCCCTAAGTGTAGAATTTTGATGAATATATAAACTAATATTATTATTTTTAATGTTATTGAATATATCTAAATATTTATTGTATACAATCAACTAATAACCACTTACCATTCTTTATGAAAAAAGAAATTATTTTACCTAGGCCCCGTTCACTTCACCTTATTTTTGCTCAACTGATATGATCTTTTATTGACTGAAATTATTTATGTTGAATTGAAATCATTTTTACTGAATTGAAATTAATTTTGCTGAATTGAAATTATTTTTACTTATTTTCAACTGTAGTTCTTCTCTATAGTTATTGGAGTTTATTGAACTAAAATAATTTTTATCGAACTGAAATTATTTTTACTAAATGTAACTTAATTTCACTAAACTGAAATTATTTTAATATTATTTTTTTTACAGTGAAGTGAACATGGCCTTAAGCTATGCATTTAGTAACTGAATAGATCACACACATACAACCTTATTTGATTCTTTTATGTTCTGCATTGCAATACAAGTACATACTAAACTATGCACTGGAGCCTTAGTTGTATTATTTTATTACATGTACTACCAAATGGAGTAATCAATTAATTTATTTTTGATTTTTTGTAGGGGGATGTCTTGTTTTTTCTTGTAAAGTTAGAATAAGGGGCACTTATATTTATAGGTTAAAGTAAAGCTACTTCTTTGAAGTATTTTTTTAATCAAATTATCTATAGTAGTTCAATAGCCGGGACTTAGGAAGTTGTAATTCTATTGCAATGAAGTTATTAACAACAAGAAAAGACTAGGAGACAATGTGAATTCTTATTACTACCTTCGTTACATAGTATTTGCAACGATTAGACATTTTACCTCTCTACTTTATGTCGAATCGTTGCAAATAATTTGTAACGGAGGTGGTACTAATTTAAAATTGTTTCACCATATTTTGTTTTTGAAAGTATAAACAAAATTCCGCCATTTCCTTATGTGGTAAGCTTACTGTAGCAAAAAGGAGAAAATACAAGCTTATCACCTAGATTAATATTGCTCTGATATTCTATTGCATTATCTAGTGGCAATTAGGTAGATAAGTTGCTTTAATATCCATGCAACTTTAATAAAACCCAAATATCTCACTCTTGTACACCGTGCAAAAATCAACATTCGTGTAAGAAAGTTAGGGCCATTTGGTATCCTTCTTTTACACATGAAGCTTTGATTTTCTTACAATGGAGGAAGGAAAGCTCACCTACCCATTGGGGTTAGCTACTTAGCCATGCCCTTTAATTCTTCCTTTTTTCTTAAGGTTTTCAACTTTTCATTCGTTGGTGTTAGTGAAGTCTCCATTGCAGCAACTTGAAGAAGGTGACAAAGAAGATGAAGGTGAAGAAGAAGATGAAAAAGATGAAGGTGGGTGAAAGAAGGATGAAGAAGATGGCCATTAGCTGATGGTAGACGGTGATAAGGCGAATCACAAAAACGGAAATTTCACTAAATGCCCCTGAGTTATTTTTTTTGTTCACCATATACCTATAAAAATTTTCAAATTCACCGTATACACTTGAGTTTCACAAAAATGTCACCAAATGCCCTTAATGACTAACGACGGTTAACTCCATTAGTCATTAAGTTTAATTGTGCCATGTGTCATGCTGCAATTGGTTGTATTTTAATCAATTACTAAATTAATTTAATTAATTACGTAATTAATATAAAAAAAATTAAACCCACCCCACCCCCTACCAACCAATAGTGGTCGTCGGCACCGGTGGTCCCCCACCCCAAGCCGGAATCGGCGCCGGTGGTCCATATCCGCCGGCGAGGCCAACCCCCACCCTTGACATCCCCTCCTCAATTCCCTAACCCCACGACACCCTTTCTCCTCCCCTAAAACCAGCCCTATCCGCCAACGTCTTCCCGGAAACAACCCTCGTTCCATATCCCCCACCCTAAATCGATCCCCCTCCCCTTCCCCTTCCCCCACCCTTAATCGGCCACCTAGAAACCCAAAAAACCCCAAATGGAAAAACCCCCAAATCGAAAATTTAGGGTTTCAAATGGGTGGTTAGGTTTTCGGGTTGTGTTTCCGGGCTTAAGGGCGCTTCAGGTAGGCCAATTAAGGGTGGGGGAAGGGGAGGGGGGTCGATTTAGGGTGGGGGATAGGGGACGAGGGTTGTTTTTGGGAAGAAGTATGTGGATGGGGGTGGTTTTAGGGGAAGAGAAAGGTTGTCGTGGGGTTTGGGAATTGAGTCGAGGGTGGGGGGGGGGGTGGCCTCGCCGGCGGACGCTGGCAGGTGGTTGGTTTGGTGGGGGGCTGGGGTGGTTTTTTTTTTTTTTATATAGTTTGTTTACTTAATTAAGTAATTTAATCTATTAAAATAAACAACCAACCAAATGCTGCCATGTGGCATAATTAACCTTAATGACTAACGGAATTAACTGCCGTTAATCATTAAGGGCATTTGGTGACATTTTTGAGAAACTCAAGTGTATACGGTGAATTTGAAAATTTTTATGGGTATATGGTGAATAAAAAAATAACTCAGGGGCATTTGGTGAAATTTTCGTTACAAAAGCGTCCTTCAATTTATACAAGAAATTATGCACTTACCTCTTTATTGAACATCAAATGTTTAGCAAGGTGATAAACATGGTTCGGCTTGGCAAATAGACCATGTTGCTCCTCGCCTCCTCTTTTCATTTCAATAAATTACTGTCTTTACTTTATCTTTCTTCATTCTATCCATTCTCTTCTGCCATGGCTGCCAACAATTATAACCAAACTTGCCCTCGTTTTCACCCCAACATCATCGCTAGCACTACTAGTGTCCTCCCCCTTTCCCCTCATATAAGCTCCACCACGACCTATTGTCTCACACCTTCAGTCCTTCACCCACCCTGAATTCCTGAAGAGTCGAAATTCCCCCACCCACTAGCTTTACGAAACCCGTTCTAATCTTCCTCTCTGTTTCACGGCTTGAGTGATGAGTTACATTAGAATCTGTAGATTTTGACCTTAGGTTTAAGACTTAAAATAGCATTGGTGGAATCCAAGCACCAAGGGCTCCACTTTGGTGCCTGTACTTTGGATAAAGTGCCTGTATCTTCAATCAATCAATGTCTTATGAGATGAGATTATCTTTCTCTTTATTGATAACCAACATCTTGCTCTCTCTGCGAGTTAACTTTTTAAGTAAGTAGTAACAATAAATATGATGTTTCAAACTATGTTTTTGGAGCAAAAAAAATCAATCCTGCTTACTTTTGTCAACTATTTATCTACCATATTCTAAAATGATAGTTTTGGTAATAAAAAGGTGACATACTACCTCCGTTACAGGTTATATGTAACGATTTGACATAAAGCAGAAAGGGAAAATGTCTAATCGTTGCACATAACATGTAAAGGAGGTAGTATATAACTTTCAAAGTACATAATTTTATCCATTAACATATGTGTGTTTTTTTTTTTAATGCAGAAGGTAAAAACTAGTTAGGAGTATATATTGAATTAGTGATAGGAGGGGATAGGGGTTGGAGCATATAGCTAGATATTTGTTTGGGACTTTGAACCACATTACTGCTTTGGAGCTGGCTTTTGGAAATCATTTGGCTCTAAATGAATGAACTACATTGAGCCATTCTTATAAAATGTCTATGCTCAAAGGTAAAAATATTTTTTGATTACTGTCTCTGCGTAGAATTTAGACTAATGGCCATGAATGCTAGATACGCTTCAGCCCAAGTAATTCTTGCCTTTCTTGGTCTATACTTCTTTGGTTTCTTTTTAATGGACATGTTTTGACTTTAGGGACTAATCACTTAAGTTACTTTTGACTTCAATTTGCGATTTATATTTGAGAAATATCATAGTCAAGTGAGGTTTTGTTAGATTTGTCTTGACTACTATTTTCAAAAATACCAATTTTTACTATATTTGTTATTGATAACCGAAGAATGTTAAAATAAATTATGCGTTAGCAAACGTGTTTAAAAGAAATGTGTCAACTAATATGAAATGGATGAAGTATATGTTATTACCATATGCTTGTGGAGGATATCCCATCTTAATTATTGACGTGTGTTTATCTTATAGTAGTCAGCAAAGACTGTATGCTAAAGGTTTTTTAGCTTATAATATACAGGCAGTCAAGCACTACTAAAATTCTAATTGTTGATATTTTTGTCGATTGAGTAGATATAACATTGTTCTATATTCTTTGGAGAAAAGATAAAAAGTAGGGTTGGATGGGATGAGAGATTTGTATATGGTCAATTGTCCCCTATAAATGAAATGCTCTGTTGTTCTGGGTTCTGTATTTAAAAAAATGCTTTAATAACATGCTTACCAAAGAGCTAATTTACTTATTATGTTATTGCAGGACCTGATAGGAATTGGGCAATATCGGTCTGGTAATCCATAGCCGTTCTCCCAAATAGCCGTTCTTCCAACCTGTTGTAGTCCTAGCTATTGTGGGGGACATTCCTTGACTAAAAATGTTGCCCACCGGCCCACCCTGGAACTGAAACAGTATTAAAGAAACTCTGCTGTACTGATTCAAGTGTACAAGAAACAACCCAATCGAAAGTTCATCAGTAAGAAGCTTATGGCGCTTCTTGCCTTTTGTTATAGTACAGTGGGCTTATATGTTGAACAAAACATTCTAGGACAATGGCTTCTTGCGGGTAGTCATCATAAATACAGTATAAGATAGTCTCTTGGAAAACAGGCATAAGAGTTACTCTGTATCAACTATTCGGAGTAATTTTATTGAACTCTTTTGGCTTTGAAGTAGTTTTCGAGCTGGTAGCTGAGCAGGCTTATATTTTTTTAATTATTATTTTTTTTAATACATAAAGTGTAATTCCATGTAAAAGTGGTGTCCATATCAATTACTATGCAAGTGTTATTTATTTGCTTCCTCAGCATACCCTCTTGTTATTATTGTTTTTATGTTCATACATTTATTTACCTTTGTTCCCTGTCCCCAAAAAGGGAAAAAGAATATAAAAAAAAAAATAATAATAAAAAAAAATAAAATCCAAGGAGCTCATGTAATATAAAGTCTTGAGATAAAATACTGACAAATTTGCTAATTATGGTTATTAGACTTTCAAAAAACTCTTTTGAGCTAATTTATCATATCATATCACCTTTCTTCTTTAGATTTTGGAACAGCTAACATCTTTTTTTTGTCGTGAAAAACATGGGGTACTCTTCAACATTTTCCTCCACTTGCTTCTAACAATTGACTAAGAGTATCAATATAACTCATTAATGATAGACAAAAGTACAAAACAGTCTCTCTGTAACCTGTGTGGCATTTGCAAATTGGAAATAGTTAGGAGTAGCATTCTATTAATTATTTGTGTTACTCAACAAAGTTCCCTCAAAAAAAAAAAAAAATTATTTGTGTTACTCATACTCGGGTATTAATTGTTTGCATTTGATATGGGTATTTTTTTTGGTGTTCGACTGGATATTACTTTGAGATTTTCCATGATTTTGGCCTAAATCAAAGTATTTACTTTGAGAAATTGTGACGATTAGTTTACATTTTTTCCACAATTCACTGAATGTACACTGATATATATATAAAATACTGTATTAATTACATATTTTGATATTCTGCATAAGAAAGTAAAAGAAGTTACAATAACATAATATCCCCTCAAAAAATTAAACAAATGTTACATAAAAACCATAACAAGAACCTTTGCAATTTCACAAGGTTTATAAGAAGCAGGAAACTAAAAAAACAAAATGAGTATATAACAAATTACACTTTTACAATTCTTCACAAATGTACAAAAAGAAGCAGGAGAGGAAGAGTTCATTCTTAATAGCACGTTGTTGAATGTTGATGAATCATGCAATTGGTTGCTCAAGCTTTTTTAGGTGGTTCCTCAGCTTGTGGCTGCTCCACCTTGGGAGGGGCTGCTGTCTCAGCTGTAGTGGCATCGGCTGCAACTGTGGCTGCAACTTCACAAGGTTTTTCCTCTGAGACAGTGGCTATCTCCTTCTCTACCTCGCTTGTTTCTTTCGTGGTGGTTGCTTCTTCTGTTACTGCTGCTGCTGGGGCTTCTATCTCCCTGGGGTTCTCTTCTGTGACCACAAATGTTGAGACCTTTTCGAACACGAATATAACCGGACCTGGAGCCAGTGCTGGTCCGAACTTTGAACATGCTTCAAGGGCTACTTTGGAACCTGGGAATTCTGCATATACAATAACCAATCTATTATATAGTGCAACCAATTAACCAAGCAATGAAACCAACCCAACTTCTGAAGAAAAGAGCCACGAAAAGAATATAATGTAAATGAGATTTGACCTTCAAACAAATGTTTAGTAGTATTAATTTAATTAACTATGTAAGAAAAATGTGAAGAAATGACTTACCAATTTTATTAAGTTTGTCAAGAAAGCTCTGAACATCACCCGAATGTTTCTTAAGGCCAGCTTCTTTAGGATCTTTTACCAAAGTCTGTAAAAATATTCATAAAATAATATCCTTTAAATTCCTAATTAAGTCACTTGAAAATTCTTTTGATCATAATTTTGTTTCCTTACACACTGACCTTGATTTCAGCTGATGAAGCTTCATAAATCTCGAGTACTTTGGGCTGCAGCTCAGCTTTCTTCTCCTCAAATTCCTTGGATAATTCCTCCTATAAACAAGTTAAATAATTTGTGATCTCCCAACAATAGATAGTCGGACGGTAACTTCATGGTCTTTTAACCATATCGTTAATACTTTTTTAAGTGTTGACAGAGGCAAGATGAACAATGATGTAAACGACATTTATTTTTAAGGGTCGTCTTAGGTATCACCTATTATGCCCAGCACTTGAACTAATCAAATAATCTTAATTGGGTGAGGTCCCAACTATATTCACTTGATATAATTGGCATCCACTATTATCTTTAGGCATTTCAGATCAACATTAACCATACACACAATATGATTAAGAATTTTTTTTGACAATTACCACCTACAATTATTACTATTTTAGTAATTATCACCTACATTTTTTTTTGAATTTTACTACCAACTATTTTTTAAAATTTTAGAACTTCCCACCTTGTTGGCTCTCAACAGAAATGTGATGTTATGTGGGGACTAACTACCTTCCCACCCTTTTCCCCTCCCTTTCTTCCTTTCTCACTCGATTTCTCATTCCCCTATATTGTATTCCTCTCAAAATCGAGGAAAAATTTCAAATTAAATAATAAATTCATGTTAATTATTTGATGAATTGAAGTGTTTTCCCAATTTTGAGAGGAATACAATACACGGGAATGAGAAATCGAGTGAGAAAGAAAGGGAGGAAAAAGGTAATTAGTGGGCCCCACATGACGTCACATTTGAGTTGAAAGCCAAGTAGGTGGGAAATTTTAATATTTTGAAAAATAGTTAGTGGTAAAATTAAAAAAAAAAATAAATAAAAAAACCTGTAGGTGGTAATTGCTACTGTAAAATAGCAACAATTTTGATAGTAGCCGTCAAATTTTCCTTTGATTAAATTAAGAAATTCTAAACGATTATTGTTAAGGAAAATTGATTATAATAATCGCACCTTTTATCGGTTCACTGCTAATAATCCCACCTTTGATGGACATTCTCTTCTAATGGTCCTTCATGACCGGTAACCTATTCTTTGGGTAAGTTAAAGTTTTTTTTTTTTTTTTTTTTTTTTTTTTTTTTTTTTTTTTTTTTAAATTTACTCCTTGGCGGTAGCAGCTTCCCTTCCCTAACCACCGGTTTGAAAATCCCCCTTACAATTCCGACCACCAAGCACCAACAACAACATACAATTCCGACCACCTTTGCCCTCGTTGCTCCTTGCTCACTCACCAACAGTCACGACACCTCTTTTTCACCAGCCACCGTCACTCAACAACGCAACAACAACCAACAATCTCCACGTTCCACAACACAGCAGCAAGCCACCTCGTAGTCCCTACAGTACTCCGTTAGCCACTAAGCAACAACAATTTTACCTCCAAACCACCCTCAATCAACAATTCGACCACCTACAATCACAATTCCAACCTCTAGTCGAGCAATTTGACACCTACAATTTTCATTCGATGCTCCAATTTGAACACCCAATTGGGTGTTTCGGTGTGTGCGTGGGAGGGCTGAAATGAAGAGTTTCAGAATGGGGATAGGTTGGGGTAGGGTGTTTCGGGGGTGAAAGTGGCTCGGATGGGCTGTTTCTATTGGGGAATTTGTGTATGAACAAGGGTCACAAAAAATAGCAAACAAATTAGAATGGAAAAACTTCGAGGCGTGAACGGAATCACTTTCCCAAAAGTATAATTCCGACCCTATACTACAATCGGGTTTCCACAATTGCAATCACAAGTAGGATGATTACAATTCAATGTAGATAAGCCTTTGGATTTATGATGATGATAATTAGTTGCAAAAAGGTTTCAAGAAAAATAAATTTCTGATTTTTCTCAAGTATCTATCAACATATGTTCCAAGAACATATATATATTGAAGCAAAAAATACTCCAACAGCCACATGTAACCGTCAAAAACAAGGAAGGGAAGAAAAACCGTTAGCCATACAAGCAGGTCTGACACGCGCACGATCGGGCTTGCCACCGCCTGATCGGGCCAACTGGATTGTCAGATTTCAATTCCTCTCGCGCCCGATCGGGCGGTGGTGACCCGATCGGGCGGCTGCCCCAAAATCCAAAATACGAATTTCATCCTTCTCGCGCCCGATCTGGCGGTGGCTGCCCGATCAGGCGGTGGAGAAGAAGATTTTTCAGCCACCCTCGCGCCCGGTCGGGCGAGCACCACCCTGAGCGGGCGGCTGACCGGGCAACAAAACAGGGGCAGCAACTTTGTCTTCCATAAACAGAGTTTCTCGTTGCCGAGAACTCTAAGCTTCCTTCAATGGATTAATTGCTATAATATTCTTTATTAATTATACACAACACCTTTGCCTAAGTAATATAATTAATTAACATGAATTATGTCTCCAATTCTCAAAATTATTCAACAATCCTCCCCCATTTTGAGAATTTAAACTAGACACATTGCAAAAACATCATCATCACAAAACAATCTTATGCATAAATGAAAGTGTACATAGACTTGAACTCCCACTTAGTGCAATATACAATTCAAGAATCCAGATCGATTTGGTATCGTAAAACGTTTAAACCAAAAGTAACACATCTGGAAACTTGAAGATATTACACACACAAGATTAATTACTTAAATACATATTAGCTTGACACTATAAGCCATGTGTCCATATCTATTCATAAGTACATCAAAGCTACACCCCTAATAGCTTCTTGAAGCGGCTAAACCTCGTACTTATATAGGTAGAGTTCCAACATGCTCCTGTGACAAAGCACTTTTATCAGGAATTCTATTAAGTTTAAAACAACCTCTTTTCATCACAGAAAAACCGGAACTTTACCTTGGATGAATAAACAAGTTCCCAATCATCAATTAAGAGAGTTAATCTCATTGAACTTAAGACCCAGCGTCTTATTGGGCGTTAAGTTGAGATTCTCCTAATTGTGATTATTTAGGGTTCTAATCCTAAACCGATTGCCATCCTACTGTTAACATCTCTAGCCAATGCCTTTGTAAAAAAATCGGCGAGATTAAGATCCGTTCGAACATAATCAATAGTGATCACACTATCCTTGATAAGTCCTTGGATGTAACTGTGTCGTACTCCAATGCGCCTTGACTTACCATTATAAACTTGGCTATAAGCCCTTGCCAAGGTAGCATTGTTATCACAATGTATCACTGTTGGTGACAAAGGAATCTCAAACATGAGATCCTTCAACCATTCGGCTTCTTTACCAGCCAAATGCAAAGCAATGAACTCCGATGTCATTGTGGAGTCCGCAATGCAAGTTTGTTTCTTTGAAGCCCATGAAATAGCACCTCCCCCATATCGGAAAACCCATCCACTTGTGGAGGAATGATCTTTGTTAGAGATCCAACTTGCATCCGAATACCCTTGTACAACCGAAGGATATCCACTATAAGACAAACCGAATTCCTTGGTTTTCTTCAAGTGCTTCAACAAGCGTCGAACCGCTTGCCAATGTAGCTTACTAGGCTTGCTAGTGTACCTGCTCAATTGACCAACTGCATAAGCAATATCAGGTCTAGTACTTGTTATGGCATACATCAAACAACCTATTACTTTAGCATATTCAAGTTGTGAAACCGCATAACCTTCATTAGGTATCAACTTTATGCTAGGATCCATAGGTGTTGAATAAAGAGAAGTAGTGTCTTCACATACATTGAATTTCTTGAGCACTTTCTCAATGTAATGAGATTGTGACAAGATCAACTTTCCTTTTTCCCTCTTTATCCTTATGCCCAAGATGACACCGCTTCCCCCATGCTTTCATGGAAAACTTTGAATTAAGGAATGACTTTGTCTTTTCAACTTGTGACAAATCACTTCCAAAGATAAACATGTCATCTACATATAGAAAAATTATGACACCTTGACCGCTGTCATCAAATTTGCTATAAATACACTTGTCTGAATTGTTCAACTTAAAACCATTAGACAACACAACCTCATCAAATTTTTGATGCCATTGCTTAGGTGATTGCTTTAGCCCATACAAAGACTTAATCAACTTGCAAACCTTCTCTTCCTGACCTTCCATAACAAACCCTTCCGGTTGTCGCATGTAAACTTCTTCCTCTAGATCTCCATTCAAGAATGCTGTCTTGACATCCATTTGATGGATCACAAGATTGTGGATAGTCGCAAGTGCTATCAACAATCTTATAGTTGAGATTCTAGCAACAGGTGCATATGTATCGAAATAATCGATACCAGGTTTTTGTGTAAAACCTTGTGCCACTAACCGGGCTTTGAACTTTTCAACCGTTCAATCAATCCTCAATTTCCTTTTGAAGATCCATTTGCACCCAATTGGTTTACATTTTGGTGGTAAAGTAGCTAAAACCCAAGTATTGTTTCCCATGATGGATTCCATCTCATCATTAATAGCTTCCTTCCAAAATGGAGCATCACGAGACCTCATAGCCTCATCATAGGTCAAAGGATCATCTTCCACATTAAAAATGTATGGAAATTGTGTTGAAACAGATTTCCTTGATCCTTCAACTAAGTACACATGAAAGTCCGGGCCAAAAGATTTTTCTTTCCTTGCCCTCTTACTTCTCCTAGGTTGTGATGATGATGTAGATGCCTCCTCTAAATGAGTTTGGTCATCCACCTCTTGATCAATGACAATTTGATCAATACTTTGAGCATTGGCACTTGGAGTTATATCCTTTGGTCTAGGAATTGAAGAAAATCGATTTTCATTAAACAATGCATCCCTTGACTCAATGGTGGTGTGAACCGACCAAAAGTCATTTTGTTCTATTACGTACAACCTATAGGATTTGCTATGATCCGCATATCCTATAAAAATGCATTCAACTCCTCTTTCACCTAACTTTTTACGTTTAGGTTCCGGCACTTTTACAATTGCCCTACAACCCCAAACTTTGATATGAATCAATTTTGGTTTTATTTTATACCAAAGCTCATACGGGGTTACATCTTTCCCTTTCATGGGAACACGATTTAACACGTAACAAGCCGTTAAAACGGCTTCACCCCAAAATCCATCACTTAAACCTGAATATGACAACATAGAATTTACCATTTCTTCTAGTGTCCTATTCTTCCTTTCCGCTACACCATTTTGTTGTGGTGTATATGCCGCGGCAGTTTCATGTACTAAACCTAATGATTGGAAATAACTTGGGTCATAGTATTCACCTCTTTTATCAGTTCTTAGCTTTTTAATCTTTTCATTGGTTTGCAATTCTACTTCACTTTTGTAAACTTTAAATTTATCAAAGGCTTCATCTTTAGAGAATAACAAATAAATGTAATAAAACCTTGAATAATCATCAATAAAAGTTACCAAAATTTCTTATTCCCTAAAGAAGGTGTGTTATGAAAATCACACAAATCACTATGCACTAAATCAAGCAATGAATTATTTTTCTCAACAACTTGTGGAAATGGTTTCCTTGTGATTTTGGTTAACATGCATGTCCTACACTTCTCTATTCTTGGATCAAACACAGGTATCATATCATGCTTTGACATAAAATACAACTTTTTATAATTAACATGACCAAGTCACAAATGCCATAGAGAAGAATTATCATTAACAACATACACAACATCATTCAAAGTATTTGAAATACTTAATTTAAACATACCATTACACAAATAACCAAGTCCTACAAATTGACCTCCTTTAGACAAAATAAATTTATCTGACTCAAACACCATCTTAAAACCTAATCGATTCAAGATCGTATCGGATACAAGATTCCTCCTAAGTTCGGGAGAGTACAACATATCTCTTAAAATAAGAGTTTTTCCCGAACTAAAGACTAGCTCCACTTGTCCTTTGCCAAGCACCTTAGCTGTAGAGTCATTGCCCATATAGAGAATTTCTCCATCATCAACCTCCAAGAAGGTCTTGAACAATGATCTATCATTGCACACATGCCTCGATGCTCCCGAATCGATATACCACGAACAATCATCCTGTACACAATTGATTTCAGAAATCATACACATATAATTCATAAATGAATTAAATGAAATTTGTGCACAAGATTTACCTTGTTTGTCTTGGGATTGGCTAGCATTTCCATTCCCATATTGAGCCTTCTTGCTCATCCTTTTAATCCAGATTGTGCAATCTTTCTTGAAGTGAACGGTTTTTCCACAAACACAACAAGCACGTGACTTTGAACCATCACCGCTTAACTTAGGCTTCTTGCCTTTATTTTTGTTTGAGTCATTACCCCTTTTTCTCACATTTTGTTTGGCATCCTCCACTACATTTACCGTAGTAGAGCTAGGATTTCCATCCTTATTTCCCTCTTGCACCCGGATTTCTTCCTCAATCCGGATGTGAGAAGCCAAACCTTCAAGGTTAACATCATCCTTCCTATGCTTTAAACCACTTTTAAAGTCTTTCCAAGAAAAAGGTAATTTGTCTATTATAGATGACACTACAAAGGTCTCATCAAGAACTATGTTATGCTGTCTAAGACTTTCTAAAATTCTTTGTATCTCATGAAATTGCTCCATAACAGACCTACTATCAATAATTTTATAATTATTAAATTTACTAACAAGAAACTTCTTGCTAGAAGCATCTTCAGCCATATATTTAGCATCTAAATCATCCCATAGAGACTTAGCAGAATCATTAAACTGATAGATATCAAAGAGTTCATCAGACATAACGTTGAGAATATGACCACAACAAATATAATTGTCATTCTCCCACTTGTTGCGTTTCCTTGCTTCATCAATTGTTTCCTCCTCCTTTTCCTCGGGTTTTGGAGTAGCAAGAACATAAGCCACCCCAACTGTAGTCAAGAAGAAATGCATCTTCCTCTGCCACCTTCGGAAATCAACACCTTCGAATTTGTCCAACTTTTGAATGTTGGCCATCAATTCCTTAACATTTGCCATCTTTGTCAATTATACTTTTGGATTGTTGGGGAATTTGTGTATGAACAAGGGTCACAAAAAATAGCAAACAAATTAGAACGGAAAAACTTCGAGGCGTGAACGGAATCACTTTCCCAAAAGTATAATTCCAACCCTATACTACAACCGGGTTTCACGGAAATTTACTTAGGAGATACAACGAAGAAACAATTGCAATCACAAGTAGGATGATTACAATTCAATGTAGATAAGCCTTTGGATTTATGATGATGATAATTAGTTGCAAAAAGGTTTCAAGAATAGATTTCTGATTTTTCTCAAGTATCTATCAACATATGTTCCAAGAACATATATATATATTGAAGCAAAAAAATACTCCAACAGCCACATGGTAACCGTCAAAAACAAGGAAGGGAAGAAAAACCGTTAGCCATACAAGCAGGTCTGACACGCGCCCGATCGGGCAAACTAGATCGTCAGATTTCAAGTCCTCTCGCGCCCGATCGGGCGGCTGCTCCAAAATCCAAAATACGAATTTCATCATTCTCGCGCCCGATCTGGCGGTGGCTGCTCGATCGGGCGGCGGAGAAGAAGATTTTTCAGCCACCCTCGCGCCCGGTCGGGCGAGCACCACCCTGAGCGGGCGGCTGACCGGGCAACAAAACAGGGGCAGCAGCTTTGTCTTCCATAAACAGAGTTTCTCGTTGCTGAGAACTCTAAGCTTCCTTCAATGGATTAATTGCTATAATATTCTTTATTAATTATACACAACACCTTTGCCTAAGTAATATAATTAATTAACATGAATTATGTCTCCAATTCTCAAAATTATTCAACAGTTTCAAGGGTGGGCATGGCTGGGATTTGGTGTTTCGGGGTCGTGGATGTGGGTGGCTGGTTGCAGGGTCGGGAATAATGGATGAAGGATGGGAAAAGGACAAGGAAGAAAGGAAAGGGGGACAAAAAATTTAAAGATAAAAAAAATAAATGACAAAAATGTATTTCGGCGAATTACAAAGTGCCACATGGCATGTTAACTTATTATACCGGTTACCAACAGGTTAGGGACCATTAAAAGAGAATGCACCCCAAAGGTGGGATTATAAGATAATAATCGAAAGACGTGATTATTAAAAGCGAACTGGTTAAAGATGGGATTATTAGAATCAATTTTTCCTATTGTTAATTATGATAATGCTTTTTTATTTCAAAAAAAAAAAATGATCATGCTTTTATCGACATGAATAAATCATAACTAACGATAACCATTTAAAATTTCTTTATTCATAATAATCATTTTTTTTTCCTTTCTAAACTTTTGTTGAAATAGGCATGCATGCATAAATTAAAATTGGTACCTTAGAGTCATCAAAGGACTTGCATGCTTCAACAGCAGCAGCTTTTTTTGCCACATCTACTCCAAAAACCTTCTTAATCTGTGGAAGAACCTTTGTTTTCCAGTATCCCATGTTTATCCGTTAATATAACCTACAAGTCAAATCAACATAATTACGATTAATAAGCAACAATGAAATTCTCAAAGTGAACTTTGTTTCTTCTAGTGTCAATAGATGATACCATTGGTAGTGTAATTTTGACGGAAGTTTCGTATTCTAACATGACAGGTCAAAAGAGTAATATACCATCTCTCTCTCTCTCTCATTTTAATTCTTATAAGAGGAATTTTAAAGGGAGGAAAGTTAGGCATTTGTAAATGCATAACATTGATTAAAATATTATTAAAATACATGATAGAGAGAGAAAAGAGGAGAGAGATAGGAAGAGAGGTCTGTAGGTGGACCCTACCTATTTTTTTGGTCGGATTGTATCACGTGATAGGGGACCACATGTTGATTGTTCCACTGAAAGTTTATATGTTACCATTGAATCCTCAGTGGTACCATTTTTGCATAAATTTTGTACAACTGAATGCATATATAATACCATTATGTGCATATATAGTTACACTGTATATTCAGTGGTACCATTTGATTATCCAATGATATCAGAATATGAATTTGTTTGTACATATGTATAATTACATGAATACCCCTTGTTATGCATTTGTAAATGCTTAACTTTCCTCCATTTCTAGTTCCTTTTCTTAATTATTCTATATGTATTAGACAAAAGTTATATTTGTATAAATTTTGAAATGAAAAAATAAACATTATTCGTATAATATTTATCAATATATTTTGAAAAAAAAATCAAAGTATTTAAATCAAATTACTAACATGTAAAGCTTGTCTTTAAAGTATAGTATAAAGTAGCTTATTTCTTCTTATTGCTCCAACTTTAAATTTTAAGAAACATATGAAACAATTGCGTAAAATAAAAGACTAGAATAGACCCGGTCTATAATAACTTATTGTAGACCCAACCTTTTAGTATACCATACGAATGGGATTATATCATACGAAATGTGATTATATTACTACAAAAATGATTATATCATCCTGAAACTGTTATGCAAATGTATCACTCAAAAAGTAAATTTATCATTATAAAAGTATCAAATAGTAAATTACATCATTCAAAATAATTATATAATCTCATTAAATGGCTTAATATGAGATTATATAATTCAAAATATGACTCACAAAAAGATAATTATATCGTCTAAAAAAAGTGATTATATCATCCAGAATATGATTATATCATTTGAAAGTGTCAAATTTTGGATCTACAATAATTTATTGTACACCGGGGTCCATACAAGACCAAATCCTTAGTAAAAACATGATGTAACTTTGATTCTCAAACTTATAAATTAAAGCCTATATTAAAACTATACTATAAAAGTTATCTTGTATGATTATTGGAATGAAAATAAAAAAATAGAACGAATATAACTTTTCATCATTATATTTTTAAAAAGAAACCAAAGCTTATATATGTACGTTGACCGATTTTCTGAAGCATGTGCCCAGTATATAAAGTTAGGTGATTGTCGACCTCCCTAAATTTCTTACGAAACGTATGAAATATGTAGCTTATTTTCTAAAGCATGATATAACATATTAGCTTATCTTCCTAATCAAACCTTTTGTTAGAAAACTTATGATTTATGAAGTAGCTTATTTTCTAAAATATGATGTAACATAGTAGCTTATCTTATCAATTATCTTATTTGGTCATTTTTTGGGAGTATATATATGTGCGAGTAACATGCTAAGTTGAATCCCAAGTTTCTAAATTCTACCAGCAATTAACGTATTTTCAAACTATTAGAACCCATTAACAGCAGGAAATACTCCCTTAATTTTTTACCTTTTTAGCTAACAAAATTCCCCTCGTGATGAACAAATAATTTCCAATCGGACAAAACACACATGAGAAGAATTGTAAGTAATATACCTTTAAAGCATGTTGTTTAACAACTCTTTATATACACATGGAGTACAAATTTACCATGACGAATCAAACCCGATTTTATACAGTAATACACTATTAAATTTGGCTTACATCTTTGTTTGATTCGCTGCTTTCTATACACCATATAATAATTAAATGAAACATGAAGAACAAAACTTTGTAAAAAATAAAGATAATATAAAAGTTATACCTGAACCAAATGATGGATGGAGAAAAAAGAGAAGGAGCTAGAGAAAACAAACACAACACTTGATGAGACTTACAAGATGTAACACAAATACAACACTCTTTAATTTATCAAACTACCTTTGGAATATGAATATCCAATCAAAATCAGAGACTTGAATGCATGATAGCAATTGGAATTAGCCAACTGCCAATAGAAATATTAAGAAACATATAGACAATTAAATACTTAAATAACCCTATTTTGTAATGTAATTACGAAAATAGCACAACTGTGATCAAATCAATGACAACTGGACAGTTAGCCAACTCAACAAGCCAGCCTGCCATGTCAATGTCTATGGCTGCCCTTGCTTGTCACCTTGTACAAATGACATGTGATATTAATAATCACTACTGATTGCATGGCATATTATATAACTATCATTAATTCTTGCAAAAAAAAAAATTGTACTCCGAGTGTAAATCGAACAAATTAAGGTAACTTATAATTTAATTAATTTAAGTAACTGTCACTTTAGTTCATGGTAACTTTTTACCTCATATAATTTTAATGTAAATAGGTCATAAAATAAGTTTTATAAAGGACATATGATTATTGATTACCTTTCCACAACTAGATTTGATTTTATGAAATGAGTTTTATAAACGTAGCATCAAAAAAAGGTATATCTATATACCTATACTGAAGAAGAGATTTTTTTTGGAGGAAATTTTCCCTCCCAACTCTACTTTACTTTCTTTCTTTCTTTTTTTTTTTTTTTTTTTTTTTTTTATATATATATAAGATTTTTACAAACTTATTAATTTGTGTAGGAACTTTATTATTTTATTATTTATTGTTATGCATATTTTTCTAGACACTTCAATTTTATAATGGAAGTTTCTATTAATTTAAAAATACAGCCATAGCTCGGGAATTCTCTAGCTTTATTTATATCGTAGTAACATTTAATAATTTAAGGTATGGTAAATGTACAACCGATGTACAATAATTATTAAGAAAATTGACACTACGTACCAGTCCTAATTGTAGAGTTGTGGACATTCTACTTTCAAAGATTCCCAGTATAGATTAACTCATAACTATTCAACTTTTTGGTCTTTCTTAAAATAGCTCCCAATATATTATCAATAGATAAACATGTTAAATTTGCCAAATATTGAATATTTAGTGGTTCATTTTACTGAATGTTATTGTTTTATTGTGAAGTGAACAAGGCCCAAAGAGAGGGATTGATGTTTAGGGTGGATGAGGATTTTTTTTTTTTTTTTTTGTTTTTGGAAAATTTTAGTAGGCAAAATTGGAATTACCACCTCAATTTTTTTTACCACCTAGTTTTTTCCAAAACTTTTTAAACTCCCACCTGTTTGACGAATGATGTCATCATGGGCCCTAATTTCGCGTTTATCTTTTTTTCCCTCTCTTTCCCTCTCTCCTACCTCAAATTACCCTGTTTTCTTTGCCCAAATTACATGATTTAATTGTGTTTTCATCCCAATTACTTGTTTAATTGTCCAATTTTCATTTCATAAACCCTAATTTTTCAATTTTAGCAAAACCCCCAAATTGATTACCCCAAACCTTAATTACACTATTCAATACAATTCAATTCGAAATAGGTAAGATTGCAGAAATGTAAACCTAATTTGAGTAATTGAAATCGAATTTCAAAGAAGGATTCGAAAAAGGGAGAAGGAAGGCAAGAAAACAGGGGAATTCGAGGGAGGAGAGAGGGAAAACGCGAAATTGAGCCCCATGATGACGTCATTCGTCAAACAGGTGGGAGTTTAAAAAGTTTTGGAAAAAACTAGGTGGTAATTTTTTTAAAAAAAATTAAGGTGATAATTCCAATTTTGCCTACTAGTGGTAATTATCAATTTTTTTTTTTTTTTTACAACTAACGAAAAGAAAACACGTAGCACTATTTGATCGGTTATAAATATATTAGAGCGAGACCATTTTGAGAAGAACTCTATGGAGTTAGGATCGCCTTGAATTGATCAATAATTGAAATCTTTTAAACAAGATCGGCCATATAATTGAGCTGTTGCCGTAAATTTTTCCTAATTATTGTACACAATATAATTTCGTTGCTAGCATTTCGGTTTTTCATATGATCAAAGGAGTGCTATACATGTAGGAGTAGGACATCAGTTTTCTTAACAAAAGAAGAATGAACTATAAATTAAGATTATTGATTAACAGTTTCTGCTGGCTCTATGATTAGTGCCAACCTGAAAGATTTTGGTGATATACTGATATGCGTCATGACTTATATCACCTATGTCAATTATTTGTATTACTTGAATTTCCACGCCAACCACGTCAATCAGACGATCACATACTCTAAAGCAGGGCCATTACTGTAATTTGCCTAAAAAAAAATTACAAATGTCCATATCTGGACATTATTTTACTGTATACATAAATAAAAAAAAATATTACTACTTCAACAATTTAACATAAGTGTGAGTAAAAATGTCTAATCGCTGCCGAGCCTGGCTCAATCCTTACCTAGTGCAGACTAAGCGAATGCACAGGTTCCAATAAATGAAATGGTCTCAGATTGATTAATATTATAATTATGTATGCCTGTTCACGGATCGGATGTTCAAAGACTCAAATATTAGATGTAGGGTTTAAGTACTCGAAGCGGAATGTCATGGATATCATTTATATGCACCTAACACAGGATATTACGCATATACAAATAAAGATCACATACGAGTAATAGTTTAGAATTAACCTTTGAAGCGTGAATCCTCTTAGCAATCTTCTTCTCAAGGGGATATAAAAAGACTCAAGCACGACTCCTCTATTTGGCCCACCGGCTTGGACTAATGCTCCATCAATGCTAGTGGGACTGGAAAACCATTCACCTTTCTTGGAGTTATAGAACTGGTTTAGAGAGAAATTACGGAGAGGAAAAAGTTATGTAGTTTTTAGAAAACTAAATGTTGTATATTTTATTTTCTTAAGCCTCTAATTAATCTAATTTCATTATCATTAATTAGGTTAGGGTTTCCTCTCCCCTTCTCCCTTCTTTGCCGGTCACCATAAGGCCCACTTTGGGCCTCGGGTTTCTTTACTGATCCAAACTTGATGTGTAACCCTGTAGGATCCGTTTAGGTAGGCTTCGGGTTTGTTACTCACTAATCCAAATTTCTATAACATTCTCTAGCAAGACGCATAGACGATCCGAATAAACGAATTACTATCTCCATAATACGATCCATAATTATACTTAGTAATTGCACTAGAGTCGAGGACATATTTCCTTCAATCTCCACTTGTCCGAGACAAGTTTGCAATATTCAAATTTCTTAAGTCTCGTAGTGTCTAATTTGATAGTATTATTACATCTCTATGTTATCCATAGTAGCCTTCAAATTATTTCTTGAAATCCGAGTTTGAATTGCTAAGCAAATGATCATCTTATGATCCATTTGAGCACGACCATGCATTTTCAATTCTTACTCTTCAAGGCCAAGATACCCATCCTATCTAATATAGGAGGACCTATTCAATCTTGTGGCACCCAAAACTCCCACTTAACTTTTAGCACAACCCGAGTGTTGCCTTTATTGTCCCCTTTCATGGCATGATGTTTGACAACATCAAAGTTACATGATAAGTGACTTTTATGTCACTTTAAGGGTACTTTTATGCTTATTTTTTTGGTTTATTTTCTAATAATTTTCCTAGTTTTAGGCTTTATTTCTCTCTTTCCTTATTTACCTCTTAATTAGTAGTATTTTAATAGTTTTTAGCTTATTTTCGTAATTTATTTAAATTCTCTTATTTTCTATGTTTATGTTTTAAGTTTTTAGTTCTTGTTATTTAATAATTTCCTAGTTTTTCTCATTTTCTTATTTGTTTTAATTAAGTCCTTTATTTTGTTTTATACGTTTTACTTCTACTTTGTTTTATTTTATTATTTTAGTTTTTATCCCAATTTCTCTCGGTTTTCTTGGTTTGTATAGGTATGTGTTCGAGTAGAGGCACATATTTCAAGGTCAAAAGGGTTCGCATTGGAAGTTTGGGATCCGAGTCAATGAAAATTCTAAGGTGATCAAATAGTTTTTGATCACCTTAAGCCATATGGCATGGCTTCATATGAGCCACCCATTAAAAAATGTGGGTCCACCTTATTTTTTTTTCCAAAAATCATTTAAATCATTTTAGAAAATTAGAAAATTAATTTCTATAATTCAGAAAAATCAGAAAATAGAATTTCTGAAAATCAGAAAATAGATTGATTAAAAATTGTTACATATTAGTTAAGTAAATTAAGGTGAGTAATGCTAAATATTCTCTCTCTTAGGGTTTGCTTAACGCCATTTCTCTCTCCTCTTAATCTGTCTTCTCACGGTAACCGGAATCTTGTATCGACCTATCACTGCTTCCCGGAAACGGCCGTGCTGAACATCTCCATAGCCTTTATAAATGACAGGCTCAAATTTGACCCCTAGGTGCGCGCCCGATCGGGCCCGTACCCAAATCGGATGGTTCTTTTCTTCGAACTTTTTCTCTTTAAAACTCCTTACTTTGTGATCTAATACCTGTACAAAAACACTTATGAAAGGTAAAATTTCACTCTCCTCACCTCTCTAATAAAAATAAAAATAAAAATAAAATAAAGGAAAAGCTAGTCTAGAAAGCAAGAAATACGGGTTGCCTCCCGCAAAGCGCTGGTTTATCTAGGTCCTGCACGACCCTCTTACCACATTGAAGCTCAAAATGAACCGGAACCGCTAGGTGAAGTAGTTCAACCGCACCAATAGTAGCCCCCTCATGATATAGCTTGAGTCTCTGGCTATTAACCTTGAACTCATTACCGTGTTCATCGAATACCTCCACAGAACCAAATTTGTTAGCCCTCTTGACAGTAAAAGGACCTGACCACCTTGACTTCAACTTTCCTGGGAAAAGTTTAAGTCTAGAGTTGAACAACAACACTTTATCACCTTCTTTGAATTCTCTCGGAAGGATCATCTTGTCGTGCCATCTCTTTGTCTTCTCCTTGTAGACACGAGCACTATCATAGGCCGTCAACCTAAACTCATCGAGTTGGTTAAGTTGAAGTAACCTCTTTTCTCCCTCTAATTTAGCATCCAAATTGAGCTCCTTAATAGCCCAATATTCCTTATATTCTAATTCCACCGGAAGATGACATGCTTTAC